GCACCGTGAGGGCCGGGCCGGAGGGGCCCTGAGGGAGGCGGGTTCCGAACCGCGCACCGGGAGGCGACAGTGACCGCACAGGGGTTCTTGGCCTTCAGCTGCTACAGCTTGTGTTGGAAGAGTCCATTTTATTCCGTATTACATACAGAGAATTGCCAGATATTCCCTTAACGCAACTATGCTTTGGTAACAATTCAGTGATTTCGTTGTCAAATCCTGACGTTCATTTAAGCTGACAGCCCAAGACGACATCAGCCTTTGAACACAGGTGGGTGGAGTGATGTGTTCTGYGCTGCTGTGACAGAAAACGTTTCTGTTTCTGCTGAAGTGTACACAGAAAACTTCTTTGCATATAGATGAAAAAACACGTTGTTAATACTGTATTTAGTACGTTTCTTACAACATCTTACAGCCCTGCTCTTGAGCTGTTTAATATTTACTCCGTTACCACACTTGATCAATTTGATCCCAGCAAAAGCTGGCACGGGACACAAAGAATCTGTAAATTTGTGCCAAATACTTGAAAGAAGTGTTTCCAATGTTCTCAGAAGGTAGCCAGCTATTCTCATAATGGTGTGCCCTTGTTCTACATTCTGCTTGCTTTAGGGCAGAAATTCAAAAAGTCAAGGATACTCACAAGAGAATAAATCATCTTTGTGGCATAATACACATTCAATTTAATTTACATTCTGTACCACCCAAGTCTCTTCATACAGTGTAATTCCAAATTCCTGTATCACCATGCAGGTGCTCATCATCCTTTGACCCATTAAGAACTGATGCCACTGCAGTCGCCATTTGGTGATTTACATACTCAACACTGGCATTTCCAGCTGTAAAATTTAAATAAGACATCAGTTATTTTTGCTTTTAMACACCAAAACATTTGTCACAGAATTCACGACATACTTTTGAAATAAGTCATCTAGAGAAAAGTGAATTCTGCTTTTGATTCTACAGTGCTAATCTGCAATAATTAAAAGTACTGCAATAATGAAAGGACTACCAAACAGGCAGAAATACTGTGCAAATTACATAGTTCATAGTTTAAATGTGCAGATAACGTGTTCTACAAAAATTTTTATGAGCAGACAACATTGAAAAGGAATGATACCAAAAAAACTCACCAGGATTTCCTTTGTATGCAATACCATGCTGATCTAATAAACCTCTAAGCTTTTTTATTTCTTCAGAAAGTTGCTTGTATTCCTAAGAAGGAAAATACATTTAAAATAGTTGTCTTACGTTTCAAATGCATACCTAAATTGGGAGTTTGTAAGAAAAAAATACCTCTGTGCACAGCTCTGACATAAGATACCAAAATATACTGTATGCAAGCTGTTACATATTGAAACCAGAAGAGATAACCCCTTGAACAGATTCAGCTGAATACCAAGGGCATTTACATAATGCTCTTCCACTGATACTGTCATACAGTAAAAAGTTGGCAATTTAATTCCACATTAATATTCCACAGTAAATATTATGCTCTGTACCTTACTGCACTTTTCCACTGTTTCAAATTCCAGAGTTGTTTTCTTACTCTGTTTTTCAGCTTCGTTTTCTTCTGTTGATTTTAGAAGTCCTGCTTCCTCAAAAATCTCTTTCAGTATTTTTTTGTAACCCTAAAAAAGAAAGTTTTCACAAGGTGATGGATCAATCTATTCAACTCTCATCTCTGCTTGTAATTTGCACTGGCCATTCCAAGACCTCAAGCTTCATTACCAGTTCTCATAGTAGTTACAGAACACAAAAATAACTATTTGCCAACTGCAGAATAAATGCATCTACACCAAAAGGAGAAACTACCAAAGCCAGACTATTTGACAGTAATTGTTCTTTTACCAAATAAAGCTGGAAAAAATTAATAAACCTGGTCAGTTATTAGTTCATCATACAGAAGCTGCTCTGCTTCATCCCACTTCCTTTGTAGTGCTTCAGTCAGAGTTGGATAAACTGAAAAACAGAAGGCAAACCATGTAAAAACCAACAGCACTGCCCTGCATTAGTTAATTCTTCCTGTAGTATCATGCAAGCATATTGAGTTTTAAGAACTCAGTGTTTCTATATAGTACATAGTCTCTACTGTTTTCAAAAGCTGAGGTTACACTTAAATTGTGCTTCACACTTTTAAAGTTWCTGGAGAAAGACCAAAAATTTTTCTTACTTCCAGCTACAAGGCCTCATATTCTTTTGCTCAATGTAAACCTAACTGAACTTTTTTTGTAATCTAAGTAAATGGGCAGGTACTACTTATATCTACAGTCAAAAAAAAAACCAAAAAAAAAACAACCAAAACTAAACGTTCACTAGTAATGACAATTTATTTGAGAAATACCTATGCATTATATGTGTGGGATTTAAAAAACACTTTATACTATATGTTACATTTAATACTAATTTATATTACAGTACATRTTCAACCTCTGAGGATAGTGTAATATGCCAGCGTTCCACAAAATATTTTCTAAATCTTACCTAGAAGTGAGTGGGGATGGCACACAAGAGGAGTCTCAAATGTCAGAGAGTAAACACAAGTACTTGGCTCAGACACAAAAGCCAATTTATTGCTCTTTCCACAAACAAGATGAACCTAAACATCAGTAAAAACAAWGATGAGCAAAAAATGTCCATGTGAAACAAAACCAACACTGATGATAATTCGCTGTGTTCCAATGCTAGTAGATGCCTTTCTGTACATACTGTCATTTCAAAGCTTCCAGTGGGTTTTTTTCCCCTTCCCACAGGAAAAGAATCATAGCAAGCACATTGTCCAATTATTTTRTCAGATATAAAAATTTCCTGAAATGTCTCTAGTGCTTTTTCTGACACCATATGTAGCTTCTCAGTATGCTATTGTTAACAGCCTAATTCTTTTCCCTCTTYTTCCCTGGATGTTCTTAATAGGCTGATGCCTTAAATCCAACAAAGAGCTCTTTTTCTTTATTTTGCCTGATACAAATTAAAAAGCACTGTATATTTCTACAGTACTAAGTATACCACTCTAGCAAGGAAAAAAAAGAGTTGTAAGTAACCAATGAGAAAACATAAGTAAATGTCTTCAAACTTTCATCCTGATTCTAGCTTTCCTCCTCCATTCATTTACATAGTTCCTGCAGGAAGTCATCTTTATGTTTTCTATCACAGCTTAAATAATGACTTCTCTTGTAGTCTCACAAGTGTATGCAGAGTAATGCTGTCTGAATTAGCACAGTCTAAGTTATTATACCTTTGTCTGTCTGCTCTTAGTTTCACAGGAGTCTCCTTCCCTCATCCACATTCCAACAAATGTGTTATTTTCAATTTCCCATTCGTGCCAGATTCTGAAAAAAGAAGACATTATTTTGTTTTAACATACTAGAAAGATGAACTCTAAGGAAGAAAATCGAGAATACCCTTACACCATGTTCAATTTAAGTGTATATCATTTTTGCTGTATTAGTATTTCCATTTCCTAGAGCCAACACCTTGGAAGTGTAGTTTGTTATCCAGGTTGCTATATAGGGSACATCAATACCACTTTTTGGGAGCAGTTTTGGATCAAATTTCAGTTTGCAAACCATTTGTACTTAGAAATCTGTGTCTAAGTCCAGCAAAATACAGCTTATAATCAATCCCATAGCTAATACATCAATCCCACAATAAATTCCATGAGGCTGTGCAACTCTGTCTGCAGGACTTTTAGTGCTGGTGAGAGCACCTAAAAAACTGGTCTACTTTTGCTAGTCCTAAAGCAAACGGTACCCTCGGCATGGTGATGTGCCAGTTTCCTCACATACTGGCTCACCATTTTGCACATAGAAAAGAAAGAGACATCTATAATACAAAATATTTAGAAAAGCAGTGTTTTGGTTTATACTTAGATTTATTTTAGGTATTATGATTTGGRGGAATTATGATCCAGAGTCTTTAAATATTTGGAATACTTTTTTTGGGGTCTACATTGAGTGTTTTATAACTTTTTATAATATTTAACAACCATTAGGCATAAAGCATGCTTTTCATTTTGTAATTTTTGTATGAAACTGAAAATAGTTAACAGACATGAAATCCGTAGTAATACAAGCTGTACTTAGACATTGTTGAATTTCTCACATGAACATATCACACAGTTGGCATTGGTATTAATCAGTCTTCAGCTAAAATAGGAAGTTAGTATTTATCAACAAAAAAAAAATCTGAATTTTTCAAGACAGGGTATTTTTATGTACAATGGCTTGGGAACTTCCATCACCTAAGCTGACCAACAGAAGGATCTTAATTTTAAAACAGCCTCCTTTTTACAAGCCGTAAAATGGCCTTCTAACAACTGAAAAGTCTAAATGCCTTACCCTAAAATCCCACTATAGGCATTCCATCTAAAAGTCTGCTCATGCTGAGTCACATTATGGAAAGGACAAAACTCATACTTGTACCTTAAAGAGAAAAAAAAAAAAAAAAAAAAAGAAATGTTTCAGACTGGAATAAAAAGCAAGTTAATGCCTAGTAAGTATAAAGAAACAAATATCCAAATCCATTACTCACGTGGATTCCACAAAATTGAAACACTTGCCAGCAAGTCTAAAGAGATGTGCAGGGCCTAAAAACACCACAACATACATAAAGGAAAAATAATGTTTTGGTTAAATTTAAGCAAGTTACTGTGGTGACACACGTACAAGGAGTATGTGACAAATTTCGTTTTCTGCTGTACATAAGGAAACTTCTACCTTCCATATGTATTACTGTAAGTTCTCACTAGCGCTATACTGCTTTGCATCACGAGCTTTAATGTTTTTCAATAGATAAGCCTCTGTCTACAACAAAAACAAGAAACCTGTGTAAAAATAAATATTTGGAGGCCAGGTCCATAAAAGGAATCATCAGTGCAGATCCTGCTAAAATGTAACATTGAAATCACCGAAACTCTTCTTTGGCAGCTGTCTGTCTCCAAAGTCATCCAAACTGTGCAAGTTTATATTAGTACAGCCCACTTGTTCAGAATGTTGACAGTGCTGCATATTGAAGTTTCACTGAGATTCTCAAACTGGATATTCTTTTTCACCATTTGCCTTCATGGTTTGATCCAAGTAGTATTCAACAAGATAAACCTTTTTTGTCAGACAGGTCAGCAGTTGCTGTTCTGCTCTTGTAGTATTGACTACTCCAGACTTGCTGTCAAAGGAATCCAACACAGGTAACTTGTCATTGAAAAGAGGGCCAAAAGTTCTGAACTATGKGCTAGAGGAGTATTTCAATATCCCTTGTATAAGAAAATTTTCCTTGGAATTACTAAATATTTATGAGGAAAGAAGAAAAGGGATTACAAAGCATATAAAGTAAAATCCCATCCTGGATTCTGACAAGATTGCGTGGGTACTTTTTTCAAGTATCCTGAGACAAGCGATCCTACAAACAAAGGCCAAAGCACCAGAATCATGCCCTCCAGAATGCCTTAACTGGCATACAGACAAATTCTCTTTCCCAGGTGTTTTTCTGTCTGTATGATCATGCATTTCGTTCTTGAGATAGGCTTGGCCAAAGGGTTTGCTCCTCTACTACATGAAATCTGTGCCCTGTCGATTAGGATGCTCTCCCCGCAGATGAAAAGAAGGAAATGTGAATGTCCATGAAGAATGCATTAAACTCATGCTTCCCTTTCTTGAGCAGATGCTCTAGAAGACAACATAACTATTACCCCAACTGTCTTGTAGAGAAAAATAACAAATACGGTTTCCATGCTAAATAAATAATTCTGTAAGTTAGGGGTCCGTGCCCTAGACTTCATATATATGTTCCATATACACTCCCAATTTTTGGCTACATGTAAGATCTCACAAAGAAAGGATTTCTGGCGTGCTGTCCTTTATTCCTGCTACTTTTGGCATCTTCCCATTCAGCATWCTATTACTAATCCCATTTCTAACTATTTCACCTTTCACATGCAGCAGATGCAGGATAATACACTTGAGTTTATAAAACATGACAAAAAACATTAAGCATAATCACATTCAATATCACCATACCAAAATTCCTTTCTTGAATCTGAACAAGGTTAAGTCTGTGCCTAAGGTTAGCAGAGGGACTAGAATTACTCCCTTTAGCTTAGTCTTTGCCTTCAGTGTATCTCCTCTCCTCCATAGACAGCCTAGAATTTTTTACCTTCCTGCTCATTTTGTTTAAGTGGCGTACTTATATTGCAACACCTGGGCTGTGTGTGAAACTAAGCCACTTTGATTAGTTCCAAGACTATTCATAGGACACTTTTTAACACTTTTTTTGGGTACTATCAGATGATGGGATGACTTTTATATGATAATCTAAATCACATSGAGGATTGTGTGAAGAGGAAAAAAGTGTTTACTGTGAGTCAAAAGCATCTGTGACAGGCTAAAAAACCGCAGAATATGGATAGTACTGTCACTAAAACAGCATAAACAGCTCTGGGACACGGAACCACCAGTGAAGTTATTCTAGGTTTTAACTCTTAAGAAGCACAACAAAATATGTATTTGCCCATATTTATTTTCCATGATGCTTATAAAATCACACGCAAAATTAGGTTTTGTGTGCATAAAGTCAAAGTAGACTATTTGTATTACAAACAACTGTTGCTAAGTAATGAAAACCGTACAAAAAAAGAAAGTAACGCTTGCATATACCTGATACTGCTGACGGGGACATCTTTGGCTGCAGCCTATTTGTTTGAGGCAAGAATGGGTTATTCAACCTTTCAAAAGAAGGAAAGTTAAACGTTTAAGGCTGTTATGCATCTGGCCGTGGATAATCCTCCCCTAGCTGTGTGTCCCAACACCGGCAGCCGCTGCCCGCGGGCCAASAGCGCGGTGTGCGGCAGCGCCCCGGCCCGGCGCTCCATCCCCGGAGGAACGAACGGGCTGGAGCGGCCACAGCGGCACACGGACCCGGGCCCGTCGAGCGCGGGTGGACCGCGGGACACGGCGAGCGGGCGGCCACATACCCGAACGTATTGGGCTCCTCCACGACCTTCATCTTCCCCGCCGAGGCCAAGAGACCTGCGAGGAGAGAGCAGTTTGCCGCGGCGGACAGAGCGAGCAGCCGGCGCGCCCGCCCCGCGGCTGCCGCACTCACCCAGCGCCGCGCTCAGCGCCGCCAGCAGCAGCAGCACCGCCATCCCTGTTCCGCGGGAAGCGGAAACGCGCGGCGCYGGGGCGGTGTCTGTGTCTGCCCGAGAGCGGCCATGGAGCGCGGCCGGCGGGGGAACCGGCGCGGGAAGCGGCGGGGCGGCCGCAGCCTCCACACCTTCGCGGCGGAGACGGAGGCCGCGCTCAGAGGTGCGTGAGGCGGGGGGGCCGCGGGGCTGCACGGGCGACTTCTGCCCGGCTCCTGCCCGGCTCCTGCTCGGCTCCTGCCCGGCTCCTGTGCGGCTCCTGCCCGGCTCCTGCCCGGCTCCTGTGCGGCTCCTGCCCGGCTCCTGCCCGGCTCCTGATGTACTCCTGCTGTTTCAGCTTGCCTGGACGGCGAGGGGGGCGCGGATGGAGGCGCTCGGGAGGCAAAGCTCCCCTGCCCCCTTGCCATGTGGGAGCTCGGACACTGCGATCCCAAGAAATGCACSGGTAGAAAGCTGGCCCGGAAAGGATTGCTGCGAACCCTGCGCCTCGGRCAGAGATTCTCGGGCGTCGTGCTCAGTCCGCTGGCCACGGACTATGTGTCTCCCGCTGACAGGTGGGCAAAACCCGGGCGGGGCGCGCCGCAGACTGTGATGGGGAGCACTTGGTTCCAGTATCATCCTGGTGCTGTATTAGGGAGAGCATTTTAACCACTGATTCATGGCCAAAACTCTGATACGGAATAAAGTTGACCTTCCTATTACATTGCAGTGATGTATGAACATGAGAAACAGAGCCGTTTTCTCAAGTCAGCTTTACATTTTTACGCAGCTGGTAGCAGATGAGAAAAGCATATGCAAATCCTAATGAAAAATCAAGGTGCATGTCTTGCAGGGTAATTTGCTCAGAGCACGGGCTTATAGCTACTTTATCTTTTATCATGCCATATTTAATTCTTTGGTTAGGCAACACAATGTKTTAAGTAGAAAACTTGTTGGGGAAATGAGACTTTTCTTCAAATGTGTCTGCAGAATTTTCATGMAGATGTACTTATTCAAAGAAAAGATTTGTCTTTAGAAGATAGCTGAGAACGTAAATGTGAACTCTAATGTACTTTAAGAATCTGACTATTAYTATTAACCACACTTCTCTGCCACATTTTTAAACCTAGAATTACTCACATTTCATTTTGAAACATACGGGTAAACCTTTTTTTTGCCATTTGCATGTTTGGAGGAAAACCATGCTACTCTTTTTTTCTCATTGCATCTCTTTTTGAGGTTATTGTACAGCGTATGAGTTTTGATTGACAAAAGCAGAGGTTGTATGCAAGTTTGTTGCCAGTATATAGCAGCAATTAGAATTCTCACTTCATCAATGTAATGGTGATCGTTTTTCAAATACTTTGATGTTTCTTTTTTCCAGGCATATCGTTGCTCAGAGTGGAATTGCAGTCATAGATTGCTCATGGGCCAAATTAGAAGAAACTCCCTTTAAGAAAATGAAGGGGAGTCATCTGCGGTTGCTGCCTTACTTGGTGGCTGCAAATCCTGTAAATTACGGTCGGCCCTGCAAGCTGTCCTGCGTGGAAGCTTTTGCTGCAGCRTTTTGCATTGTCGGTAGGCTCAATTTGTCTGATTGGAAGTATGTTGCTAGCGATTCTTACATCCTTAGTAAATCAGAAGAGATGATCTGTGACAAAATAAATTGTAATACTGTTACACTGGTCATCACTTCATTGAGTTTGGAGTCAGATTGTCCTAGCTTTCTTCCAAGTGCTTGTAACGGTGGCACTGAGATACCTGTGAAGTGTTCATGTCAACTACTAAACAGGACACAAACTGATAACCTTCATTTTGCCTGAATGGTGTGTAAYGTTAGAAAAACTGTTAAAAAAAAAGACAGAGACAAAACACGAATCCTTAGGCACCTTTGCCTTAATGAGAGGTAGCAGCTGGCTGTTGATAGATCAAGGTCTGGGTAAGAGCAAAAGAAATTGTCCCCTTTTGTGATTTTTTACAGACTCATCACAGTCACAACTGATTGACAGTTGAAATGTTCTACCATACTGCAGACAAATCTTCTGAAAATGCTGTCTGTACAATTAGTCTTGTACTGAAGGACTGTGGGACCTAGAGCTTGAATCACTCATTGCCTGTATAAAGCATTTTTATGTAGCTTACTAAAAGGCTATGAACTATTCTTGGATTCAGTTCCATTTTTCAAGTTAAACTGAAATTTGAAAATATTTGTAGTCTTTCTGAAGGTTTTAGTCCCCAAACACTGAAAGAAACACTGGCAAACATATCTCTGTTGCAGTGATATGTAAGCACGTACTGAACTAGAAACATGTAAGCTGAGTGAAATCTCACAGTAAAGAAGAAAACTGATCATTTATTTTGTTTTAGGATTCCCAGATCTAGCCACCATTCTTCTAAGGAAATTTAAATGGGGTAAGACATTTATTGACCTGAACAAAAATCTCTTGGAAAAATATGCAGCCTGTCATTGCCAGGACGATGTGCTAAGCGTTGAGAAGGACTTTTTAGCCAGTGTCCAAGAAACAAAAGAGGAAGAAGTAGGTAAGAGAAAAACACAGAGACATGCCCTTTTTCTAACTAGTTTCTGTAGTCTTTTCCTTACATCTCTTAGCAAGGTGAAAGGTAAATGCTTTGTTGATGTGTTGTTCTGTCTTTATACCGTGCTAACAAAGTGTGCCCATTTGCCCATTTTTTTAACTAAAACAGGTGAAAATGACTAAAGCAATTTAATGCATAGATAGTATATTCACAGCTGAACTGTGAAGCATCTACCCTTATTCAACTAACCAAATTGGAAAASCTAGGAGCAAAAGGAAAATATGATGCTTGGTTTTTGTACACATGTTAAAAGCAGAGTATTAGTAAAAAGACTAGTAATTGAGAAGGAACTATGAAACTAATGTAGGCATACAGTCAGCAAGTTAGTTATACATAACCCTAAGAAGGACCTTTATATTGTAAAACAATATGTATGTATTTATATAGCTCTCAATCGAGATGCTTAAAATTGGACCTATAAAGACAYTTAAAATAATTTACAATAAGTACAAGTACTTTATTCCCAAACTCTTCCAGTAATTTATTGGAATCCAGTATTGGAATCCCAGGTTGTGTTCACAGGTGAGTACTTGGTCTCATTCAAGACAGCACAAAGAAAGGCAAATAAGCAAGAGCATATGAGGAGATTATCCTAATTAACATTTTCCTTTCACAGTGATTAAGCCCCATAAAATAGGTCAGGGGCTCATAMYGTAAGGAGATGTCAACAGACTTCARTTGCTCTGAACTTCGATCTCTTTGCTGTGGTAGTGAATTAAACCTTCCTCTTGCTGGGTGGAAGCCTAACTACTTAACTCATCAAACAACTACGATGAACTTAATGATAAATGTGAACCAGACTTTCTGTGCCTTCCCCTCCCTGCCAATAATCTATGAAAATGAAGGCAGATGGTTTAAAAAATGCTTTTTTCATCTTCTGCAGTTTTTCCTTCTTTTTCCAGATCCATTTGATGTTGACTTAGAAAARGAATTTTATAATCCCAACAGGCCAGTCAATTCCTCAGGGTAATGAAATTTAATTCAAATATTATTTTTCTTACTGTAAGTTGTTTTGCTTTTATAATCCTGAAAAATGTTTCCAGTCTAGCTCAAAGCAGGGAAGACTCTGAGGAAGACAGCGTGAGCAATCCAGATGATTCCACTGAAAGCAGTGAAAGCACTGATGAGAACAGTCCAGAAGAAAYAGAAGTGCCACAAGGAATAAAAATTCCAAATAATCCCGAGRAGTTGTAACACCTTGTATAAAGAMATTTTCTCCTGAACACTTGAGTGTRTCTTGTTCACCTGTAACTTGGTGCTTTGCAAACCTCAATCTCTATGCAGGTTTCTCAGTCTTTTTATACATGAGGGGTCTAGATTATTTCATTTTTAGGTAAGTACAGAATGTTAAATTATTTTTTAAGGAGCTTGAATCTTAGTTACAAGTAAAAAATAAACAACCTTGTATTCTAATCRGCGTGTCTGGAAAGTGGTTTATAGGGATTATTTTTAACAAATAGTGTATTAGGTAAACTTAACTTTTGGTCTGTATTTCATCAGGAAAACATGGCTAAGCTCTTGCCTTGTTCATGGTACCTACCACTGAAGGAATCTCTGATTTCTTGCAGGCTTGAACCTTGCCATATGCATTTTAACTACTTCATCTAGTTAAACTGATTAAGTTTAAAAGGAAAAAAAGTGCTCCCTGGCATTGCTTTAGCATCTCAGTACATCTTTTCAGCAACTTGCATTGCTTGTGTTATTAATGCCGATACCATCCTAAACAACAGTGTTTTGGCACTTCATACTCAGAACTGTGCAGTGAAATTTCAGATCACAGGTTCAGCAGTGCTACCCAACACAATTTCTAAAGGAGTGACAACAATGTGAGGCTGTTGGCTATTCTAAGTTAGAGGAGTGCTTTTCCATTACAAAGCTGTAGTCATCAAATGCAGACAAGCAAAACAGATCTGTATCACCTAGAACAGCTTAAAGTGTTGAGCAGTAGCCATTTTTTAATAGCAAGCACTGAAGAAGCTAAGTTCAGATGGAACAAAGCTTTTCACATTTTCTTGTTTTGCAGAACGATTCTGTCTAAAAAATACAATTTCAAAAAGCAGTGGAAGTTTACTAAGAGGGTATATCAGTTTGACATAAATTATGTAAGTTATTTTCATGCAACTGATTTCCTTTACAGAAGGAAATTGTATAGAGCACGTCCTTTTCCTAAAAGCTATATGCATTAACAGAYAGAAGAAGGCACAGAATTATTTCTGATAAATAAGTACCATTAAAAATCCTCACCATTCCTTGGACAGGTTCTATTATTGTTCGTATCCTCATGTTATTTTATATGAACATCACACCAGTATGCCAATCCCATTAAGCACAACAAGCAACTGGTCTGTAGTGAGTCAGAGTATGCACACTGCTTAAGGAACTGAGCAGAATTGATGTGCTGCAGTCTCCACACAGGGCCCAAGGAAGGGCCACATTTGTGCTCCAGGTCAGSACAGGCAAAATAAATGGAGGCAGCATCTAACCAAAAGCCAAATGTAGCATCACAGGCCTTAAAAACAGGACTTGCACTGAATTGTGTTCACAGCCATTTAAATGGCAGTCCTTTAATAATTGTAATGAAGATAAATGAAACAAAGGCCTTTATATAAACAGTTTATTTACTCTAAACAGCAACACAGACAGAATGCCATATAAACACAAAGAAAGTGATGCAGAATAAGGATGCTGGCTAACTTTGGATCTCAGAGGCTCTTAAGCAATAACAACCTAGTTTCTGAAAGATAGAAAAACAAATTCAGGGAGGGAAGGGGGTGGAGGGCATGATTTTTTCATACAGCCAGCTAGAGGCTAAATATAGTTCTAACATTTTAAAGCATGCCTGCATCAGATAGCAAAGTAACTAGAGATACTAGTGAATTTATAGAAGTATAAAAGTTTATAATTTTACAGCAGTTGAAATACTGACATCAATATTAAAATAAAAGCAAGTTTTACATAACAATCAAAAATACAAAAGACTGAAGGAAGAGACCCTGTATGAAAAAACTGGGGGCAATTCAGCAAATTTAGAACTGTATACAACTGGCGAATATGGAAAATGGCACACATACAACCCCCTCCCCTTAAGTGGATATTAATTGTACATAGCAACATTAGATTTTGCAAAAGTTTTGTAAACAAGTTCTTGCCAAACCAATCCCTTCCTTTTTAAGATGCTGCATGACAAATGCTTATGATGGTGCAAACTTCTTGGCTTGTGCTCGAACCCTCTTTTCATATTCCACTCTGTTTTGGCTGAAAAGAGAAAGGGTAATTATAGCTGSAGAAATCAGAGGCTGTATTGCAGAGTTAGTTTCATATCGAAGAGAAACAGAAGAATAAGTCATTGCTGAAGGCAAACACATTCTGTAGGAATTCACTGACCAATCTTTTCAGGGCCAWTACTCTGATAAGTTCATTTGGACAGAAGGATGGTCCTGTTCAACCAGTTACCTCCCAAACATCACCTATTGTCAAATGATTGCACCAATTTTATACCGTACCAGTCTCTCCAAACAGGTTTGTGCCTGCTCTTCTCAAGRTCAGCTGTACCTCAAGTGCAAACAATCTCTTATTCATCTGAAGTTTTCAACTCCCCACTCACATTAAGACCTGAGGTCATTAACAACAAATTCCACTATCCTAACAGCATGAAGTGAGGAGAGCAGTTCACTRACAGCTGGTGGACTTCATATGATTTTAAATTACCATCTTCAGTGCTTTGGAGAGAGAATGAAAATATACATAATAAACAGGAAAATTATAATGGTGTAGTAATTTTAGCCTTTATCTCTACAGACCTTGACTCACAGATTTAGGTTTATCCTTCAGCTGGGAAAAAAAGCWAGCTCAACATAGCTAAGTGTAGCATCCTTGCTACAGACTAATTAAACAAACAAGTACCCCTTGAGGGAACTATGTCTGATCACTAAGCCTCAGACTAAAGATGTTAAAGGGCACATTCTTTGTTTTCTATTCTTGTGCCAACAGTGGATAGTAGTAGCATAGTAAAGCATCCATTTACATTCAGTTATCCTTTTTGTATTAACTGTATGCATATGGGAGATAATTAAAAAAAACATAAAACACAGACTATCTATACCTGTACAGAAGTATATTATTGAGGCCTGCCTCATCATTCCTGGCTCCTATAACTGTGGCCACTTAACTGTCTTCATATGCACTCAGCACCATCAAGCCTTCAGWAAGTACTTTAAAAAATAACACCGAGTGAAGCCATTAATTAAATGCAAGCCACACTACCCATCCTTATGTTTCCTTTTCACTAGGATCCCATAAAAAAACATTTCTGACATAACTTGTGTGTGCAGTTACATAAAATGTTCCTTTTCAAACTTGGCACTTTCCTGGAGGCCTCTTCTGTCCAGAATGGAAATTCCACATTTCCGTCTTGGTTATTTCTTCAGCAGCTGCCAGTGCCAAAAGCATTTGTTTAAAATGATTTGGTTCCCTCAGGATTATAGAGCAAATATCCATTTTTAATGGTGAGAAAACTTTTTAAGATTAGGCCTAAAAAACCTCCCCAAAACAAAAAGTCTTTAGCTCACAAATTATCCCCTTTCCTAATCAATGCAAACTTTATTCTGCTACAGCTACAGCCATTCTGTACTTTTCAGCCTGTTCTTTTGGAAGATGTAATTTTCCCAAAATACGATGTTTCCTAAAGTGATCACAGTTCTCCTTAATCCTTCAGGCACAAACACTTATAGGTGCCCACTCCTGAGCAGAATGAAGTTACTCCTGTACTGATGAATTGTGCCTTGTCATCTAATTCAGTCTCCTCCTGGTCTCATGACACCATTATGCCTTATTGCTATTATTCAGCCTTTAGGAGAAAGAATTTTGTGTTGGGCTAGAACCAGGATGAAAATCATGATCTAAGGAGTCTTCACACTTTATTGCTGTTGCTTTGCTATTAAAAGCTCCACTAGCCTAACAGCCACAAAGTTACCATTTAGTTCAAATTTAGCACAGCCTAGGCATCCCCACAGTACTGTCATGAAAGTAAAATTCCCRTGGTCATTCCTAAAAACATTTGCATGTTATACTACAAGTAACAGAGAACTGTAGGCCACATGACAGCTTTCAAGCCAATATGTGAAGATACCTACCAGTAAATTGTGTAAGCCTCTGCTTGAGCTGGGTCTTGAATATTTGGTTCATTTAGAAGTTCTTGTATTCCTAATAAGATCTATGGAAAAAGGAACAGAATTAACACAGGCATATATTATGGATCTTACAAAAAACATTCAGTAAAATACCCTTAGAAACCAATTGGGGAGCACATGGTGAACATCTTATATTCACATCAGATAAACAAGCAAAGCAAAAGTGTTAAGAATATGTCTAGGTACAATTAATGACCTGTTTAATTGTGATTGCTGGCCGCCAGTCCTTATCCTCCTCTAAGATGGAGAGACACACGGTGCCTGAAGGATACACGTTTGGGTGGAATAATGGTGGTTCAAATTTACCTGATTAAGAAGAGAAAATTACTGGCATACAGTGCTAAGAGGAAGATCTGACAATTGGGTTAGATCAGTAGGGGAAAACAAAACCCAAAAAACCCCAAGCCAACATTGGCAGAAGACACCCCCAACCCCCAAATAAAACCCCACAGATTTCTGGAGCTATTTCCTAAAGCRGGAACTCCATCAGATCTGTGATCTGTGATATCAATCCAGACAATTGAACATCTTTTTSACTGGTAATCTTTTGGTTTAGGAATGGAAACTAACAAAGTCATTTGTAGTAGCTTTCCAATAAAGACCTTTTAAAAACAATTCTGCCTTTTCAACTTCACATACTACTTATGTAAAGGAAAGATACTGCCCTTCACTCATCTTTTCTCTCCTCGCTTTACTGAAAGTTTCATACAAGGAAAACTTAGGTTCCTAGCATTTTTTCAGTTTCATATTTTCCTGTGTATAATCAAAATTCACTGAACAAGAGGAACCAAGTTTAAATTGCAAGACCAACWGAAGGCTTGTGCAACTTTCCTTTCACCACTCAGTATGTATTCTGAGTTCTTTTAATCTCTACAAGACTTAAATGCAACAGCCAGCATCTTGAGTAAAGTAATGAACACTCCTTTTGCAATACATSAATTAAATATCTACATATTAGTGCAGTTTTCTAATCCATTTGACATGGCAAGTATTCACAAGACATGACAATCTGACTGCCCAATGAAGTTCAGCAGTACTYCAGAAGCTGCACTGGTAGGGAGTCTTACCAGCCTTATTTTAAGGCACAACAATTTGTTTAATACTGTCAGGATGTTATGAATGGCATTTCTCAAGACAACAATGTGAAATGTTTTCAGTTAAAAGAGATGTTTCCCCCGGTGTTACATGCATTTAGGTGGTAACAAACAAAACAAAGTAGCCAGGAGTTGATAGAGCTGAAACATGCAAATGTGATGA